AAGCTACTTTGGTCCACATGTTGTTTATTTGGTTTCTCCTGTGAGGGAAATGAGGACCTGAAAGTTTCTTGTCTACCATCTTGCTGATGATGTCACTCCAGAGTCCTGAGTCATGTAGAACAGAAACTAAATCTTGCTTCTCTCCCTTACCAATTTGGGGACCTCAGAAAAAACATGGTATCTCTTTGTGTTTTAGTTTTCTTAATTGAAAAATGGATATAAGGATAGTTTTCACTGAAGTAACATACAAAAATTCTTGACCCAAGTGGTGTTAAATGTTTGCTAGTAGTTATTATTTTCTTTCTAAATGCCTTATTTTTTGAGAAACCCAACTGTTACTACTGATTAGTGCTGGTGGAATGCTAGCTATATGTCAGGAATTGTATCACTAAAGTATTTTCAGGCAAAGGGCTTGGATACACGTGTATATCTGAATGACTGGTTTGCTTGCCTGTGCAAACACACAAGTCCATGTCCAGTTTGTGTGTGACTGTGGATCTGAGAATAAATTGAGTTGTACATGTGTCCATGCTATTGTGACCATTGATATACAGTACTGTTTATGTGGGAGGCAAGGCACAGAGGGTTTCATATGTAGTACATGTTTATTATTTCAAAACACAGAGGCACTGACAAACATGTGTATGTCCTAACTTGGAGTACACCCTGGCTATCTCAAAAAAGGTGAACATTGAGAACACATATTTGTTCAGGCAAATGGGAACTTGCCCAACCCTGTAGTCTTAAACTCTCAGAAAAATACCTTTATCTGTAATAACAACAGGAACAACAATAACAACAAAAACTAATGTTTAGTTACCTCTTAGCGTCAGATGTTACACTAAGAGCTTACATATATGAACTCATTTGATAACCACATCAACCAAAAGAAGTGGTCTCTTTTATTATTATTGCCATTGTATAGATGAGAGCAACAATGAGACAAAGAGTTGAAGTTGCTTGTCCAAAGACCAAGATCTAGTAAATAACAGAGCCCAGGTCTGAATCTAGATAATTCTGGTTCCATCTCCTCTGCACTTAACATTCCACGTCTTCTGTTATCATGGTTGCAGAGTCTAACCATAGTCATATTTTTTCCAGGAACTATGAAAAGATTATACCCCAGAATTAAGGCAGCGAAATTTGAACTTACATGTGAGGGAACAGAAGGAATGTGCAGAAAGAAATGCAAACAATCTGAAGTTAACTTTCACTACTGTGAAAACGGCAAACTATGCTGTGTGAAATCATCTTCAACCATTCTTACTAATGTCATTGTGAAGGATTTTAAATGGCCACAACTTACCACCACACATGAGCCTTTGTACTGAAGATTCTCAACCTTTTCCCCTTCTAGAAATCTTCCTGTCAAATATTTTCACTATAAAATTGCATCCCAGCCTCCTGTGTCTGTCTTTTATTCTATAAAGATTCATGATTGGAGGAGGGAAGTTGGGTGGGAGCCACAAAATTTGGTAAAAGGCTCCAGTCAAGAAAGCAAATAAAATGCTGAGATAGTTCAGTAGGTGTAGATAGTACAGAAGAAGGGAGATTCTATTTTACTTTGCTTATCACAGACAGTGAAAAAGACATGGGCAGGCACTTCACATAATTGGGTACTTACATGGCCACTAAACATGTGACTGGGTATTAGTACTCATTAGCTATCAAGGAAAAGTCCATTAAAACCTCAGTGAGATGTTGCTCAGCAGATGCCCAAATGGCTGAGCACTTGCCAGCTCCATACGGTGGAGAGGATGTGGAGGAACCGGTACCCTCATCTACTGCTGGTAGGTATATAAATGAAAAATTGAATATCTGCTTCACCAGACTCACTTTAAGCATATACATAATAGAAACGTGTATACGTATATCGCATCATCATGTTGTATATCAAATTATCATGCCTTAAATGATACAATTTTTATTTGTAAAAAAAAAAAGACAACAGAGTAAATAAAAAGGTCTCCTTGGGTGGAAAGGAGATTATCATGAAGGGAGTTTTGAAGTGATTCCTTTAATCATTACAGCTCTTGAAGGGTTTGAAAGGCAAAATTTAAATGTCAGATGGGTTTTAGATATAATCCCCTGACAACTGTACAGAAAGATTAAAGTGAGTCAGTCAAAGAGACAGAGACCAGGAGGACGCAAGTATTGCAGTGTGCGTGCATTAGTTTGCTAGGGCTCCCATAACAAAGTACAACAGACTGGGCGGTTTGAGCAACAGACATTTATTTTCCCACAATTCTGGAGGCTGAAGCTCCAAGACCAAGGTGTTGGCCGAGCTGGTTTCTTCAGAGGCCTCGCTCTTGGATTTGTAGACAGCCGCCTTCTCTCCGTATCCTCACGTGCCTTCCCTCTGAGTGTATTTCTGTCTTCTTAGAGGGATGCCAGTTATTGGTTTAGGGACCACCCTAATGATGAATTTTAACACAATTACGTCTTTAGATTTGGACCTTATATCCAAATGCAGTCACATTCTTAGGTACTGGTGATTAGAACTTCAACATAGGAATACTGAGGGGACACAGTTCCACCAATAATAATGGGCAGGGAAAGATGAGGGTTGAATTAGAATAGTAGAGGCAGAGATGGAGAATAGGGGCCTGGAGGCAGACTTAGAAAGTGTGGCTGACCTGATGGGGGGCAGGGAGGAACAAAAAGGTATCTAAGATGTATTTTAGGCTTATGGTTGGGGTACTTAGATTGAGGCCACTTTCTTGTTTCTCAGACTCTCTTCATCTTCCATGCCTTTGCTTTCTAAAGGTGGCATCTTTTAAAGTCACAGGTAGAGCCCTTGCCAGCATTGTTCAGTGATTAGAGCACCGGCCTGTGCACAGGAGGGTTATGGGTTTGATCCCTGGTCAAGGGCACATACTTGGGTTGTAGGTCCGATCCCCACCTCTCCATCGGGGCTCATGAGGGAGGCAATCAATTGATGAGTTTCTGTCACATTGATGTTTCTCTCTCTCTCTCTCCCCCCCCCTCTCGCCCCTCCCTTCCATTCTCTCTAGAAAATTAATGGGGGGGAAATACCCTTGCTCCTTGGGTGAAGATTTTTAAAAATTATTAAAGTCACAGGTAGAGAGTGGATTTTCACCATAATTTCAAGAATGAAGAAGGCTTTAAAGTTTGAAAAGCATATGGAGTTTATAACCTAGTCCAACATTTCCATTTTGGGAGTGGGCAAACTGAGACCTAGAGTAGTAAGGTGACTTAGTCACATCGTATAAGTCCATCTGGATTTCCCCTGCACCCTTTTCACTTCTTTAGGACTAAAACCTGAAGTCATGTTCCCCAACTCTCTAAGACTTCTGGGTCCATTTGTGGTCATAATTCCTCAAGCCAAAAATATATAAAAACTCTTGGTACAAGAACAGGTAGCTTCTAAGGATTTTCTGCAGCCATTGGTGTGGTCTGGGTTGAAGCTGAATTATTAATTGGAATCATAGTATCTAGGTAATCTAAGATCCAGACTCTGATCCACTCTCCAGACATTCCAAGGGCATTTTTTTAGGTTTGGGACATAAATGTTACTTCATAGTTTTGCAGTGGGGGAAATGAGAGAATTGAGGTAAAAGTACTTTGAGAAATGGTTGAAGGGTAAGAAAGAAGCTGCCATTATTGTGATAATTTTTGTACCTTGTCTTTTGACTGTGTTCAACTTTAAACCTGACTGGCACTGGCCTCTGAACTAAGATTGTCGCTAAGTGGAAACAACGTCCTCCTGAACTGCAACTGAGGGTGATTTATTTGTGCCTGGACATACCCCTGAACGCTGGGTTAGTAGCTTATTTTAACCACAAGGGGGCTCACAAAGCTTTCCCTTTCAGCACACCTTCCCCAGTAAGGAAGTGGGTTCTGGGTAGGAGTAGAGGGAAGCTTTTCATTCTACAGTAATCGTTTTCCACTCTGAGGAACCATAATATCTCCTCGGGCACCGTGGGTTCAAATCCTGCCAGTGAACTAGACATCTGTGCCTTTTGGGGCAAGTCATTTAAACTCTCTGAGACTTAGTTTCCTCTCCTGGAAAAGGGACACAATGCACTATACAGGCCCACCTCAACTTCTTGTGCTTTGCTTTATTGTGCCTCACAGATACTGGGGTTTTTTTTGTTGGTTTTTGCAAATTGAAGGTTTGCGGCAACCACCAGCAAAACAATTATGACTTGCTGAAGGCTCAGATGATGCTTAGCATTTTTTAGTAATAAGGTATTTTTAAATTAAGGTATGTACATGGGGTTTTTTTATACATAATGCTATTGCACAGTTAATAATCTGCAATATAGTATAAATGTAACTTTTATATGCACTGGGAAACCAAAAAAGTTGCATCGCTTAGTGCAATATTCACTTTGTTTAGGTGGTCTGGGACTGAAGCAGCAGTTGTTAGGACAAAATGAGGTTATGTATGTTAAGTATTTAGAACAAGGTCTTGCACATAGTAAGTTCTCAGTAAATGTTAAGGATTTGTGTTTTGTTTTTACTATTTTCCCCTTCTGTTTGATTGGGGTGAAAATGGTTGCCTCCTGGTCAGAGGGCACACCAATCTCTGGGCAGCAAAGTGTGATTAGGAGATCAGGGTAAGGGATAAATTCTCAGAGTGAGGCCATGAAGCAGAGACTTGGGCTAAACCTTGAGCTAAACAGCAAAAGAAGACCTTTGGATCACTCTGGCCTATCTCAACAACCCAGGATGAGACATCAGATTAAGATGTGTGGCCAAGGTGGAATCTGTATTAAGTGTGGAAAACTTCCACATTCAGGGACCTAGTAGCACCTAGTCAGATGCTTGGGAATTCAGGATCCAGATCCTATGAAATTATCTTACCATGAGAACCAATATGATCAGTCCTATTCTGGGACAACCTAGAGATGTTAGGCTACAGAGGACTAGAAAGACAAGATATAATAGCTGACACAAGCATATTGTCTTTAAGGGACCATGTGAGTACACTGCCGGTATCTAAAATCTAAGAACCATGCAGGTGCCTAGTCATTTCACTGACTCATTATAAGGTCTGTTAAAATTCTTTGGCTAGTTTCATTTGTCCTAGTCTTACATGTCATCTCTTCTTTCTCGGGAAGGCTTGATGATTTCGACTTTACCATAGGGAGGCAGCAACGTTTTCCCCCTATACATTTTCCTTTCTGCTTCTCATTTTCGTGGCAATTTGGCCTGCATTGGCCAATTCTATAAAAGCACTTTTGGAACCATCCACCTATCAAAATAAACATAAATGATTAAACAAATACATGAAAAAGAGTAAAGACTATTCTACTAAGGGTGATGGTAATTGTAGTAATAATGGTGCATGTAGAATGCCTACTGCTGGTTTTGATGCGTACTGGGTATGACTGGTTATCTCTCTTCCTCCAGTTGGACTTCATTTCTATGCTTATGTTTCCACCTCCATAATTTTTTCACATAATTTCATCAACACTGGTTCCTCCTTATCGCCAAATCCAGGTACTTGCCAGGGAGTGGGTCTCCACCTTCAATTATCTCTTTCTACCCCCCCTTCATTATTCACTCAACAGTGATTTGTTGGGCACTTACTATGTGCCAGGCACTGTTCTAATGCCCCTGATGACTTTGAGCAGGACTTTGAACACTGAATGATCAATTCATATTGCGGATCTGCTGGCTAATGTTCTGGATAGTGTAACACTGCCCTTATATGATTTACTGTTTGTGACTCGGCCTTACCTAGGTCAATAAAACAAAGTGCAGACTCAGATTCCCCGGCACATTGAGTTCAGATGAGAGGTCATAGTATCTTGGTTTAAATGACAGATTCCCTCTACTTGTTTTTTCCCCAAACACTCCTCCTGGTAGAGAATTTCCAGTTCTCTCTTTCTCACCAGGATGTTCAGACTGGAAAAATCGGAGTCAAGATGACTCTGGTTCCATAAGTCAATGTGCAGATTCATTCTCCAAAGTGTCTTTTGCATCTGCAACTCCCTCCTCTGTTTGAGTTGCCCTCGCCAGAGTTTAAGGCAGGCTGAAATCAGCTCAGAGTTAGTTCAGAATTGCCTTCCTTTGCTTCTAGAACAACTGAGAGTTTGGCAAAGACTTTCAGCTTTAAAAGCTGATCCAAGAGAAGATGCAACTTCCAACCGCAATGGCCCAAAGGAAAACCATGGAATGAAAAATCATAAACTTTAGAATTTCCAGGAAGTCAAGTGGAAACATTTCCATTAGAAAGTTATTCACCACTTAGCCGTGAAGCCTGCTGTATTGTTAGAGAGCTCTGGCCATGTTTAATTTGGAATCCAGAATCTTCTGCCCTGACTCCAGCACCACCTTGAAACTGTAGATATTCAACATCAACCTACATGTTTTTCACTATATATTCTAAGACAAGAGCAAGATGCCTCTTCTGATTGCTTTAAAGGAGCATTCAAAGCCAAACAATGGAGAGCTGAAGTAATGGGACTGGTTACCGCAAGAGGTAGTATTGATTGGAAGTGAAATTGAAGTGAAAGATGCCTGGGATGAGATTCTATGAACATTTGGGCCCAGGGTATTAAGAACACTAGAGATGTTGGGGTTCCTCCTGCAGATAGAAGGGACTTCATACAAGACACCCTTGCTTCTGCTGATATTCACCAGGTTCCCTAATGAGACACCATCATGGTCAAGGGTGACAGACTGCCCTTATTAATGGAGCATATTCATTATTAAGCTTTTCACCAAATCTCAGCCATCCCTGTGGGCTATCCTCACTCCTACACATGTTCAGTTTTCCAATGATTCTATGAGTAGGACCCCATTCTTACTCCCTTTCCCCTCCTCTCCATAGTTTGGTTACCTGGGGAAGCTTGAGCCAGGACCACAAGGACAGCTAAGGCCAGGAACAAGAGTTTAATGTATCTTGAGAGGAGTGAGGAATGATCTGGCAGCATACTGAATGTGCTGGGGAAGATAGGTCTCACTCTGCATTTTATTGACTTGGGTAGGGCTGAGTCATGGACAATAAATCAGAGAAGAGCAGGATTTTCACCACCGGGAACGTCAGCCTGCAGGTCAGCTGTATAAATTGATCACCGAGTGTTTAGAGTGCTCCTCCAGACCTCTTCTGGGACAGTGGGAGGCATCAGTAGAAGCTGAACAAGTCCTACACGAGTTGTGGCATCGTGGAGAGAATGGACCCACTTTCGAAGGAGCCTTTCTGGCTCCTCTTCTTGGGTAGTTAACCCCCTCCCTTACGTTCTCACACCCTCTCTCTTTCCTTCTTGCTGTCAAAATGTTTATCATGATGAGCTGGAACTAAGTATTCCCCTCGTTCATCTCCCCTATCAGACTAACACATTGAGGGCAACTTTTAATAGACAGTGAGGCCCCTGACAGTAGGGCCCCCGAAGGCTGGGATTTCTGTATGTCCAGAGTGTGTAGTGCACATTTGTTGAAACCAATGAACAGATGGATGCATGTACGGTATTCACTCATATCTTGATAGATCTTAGAATTGGCATTTCTCGGTTGACAAAATGCAGGCCCGGACAGTACAAAAGTCTTGATTAGGGTCACACTGTGAGTAAGAAAGAAACAAAAACTGAGAGCCCTCATACCTCAAGTGCTAGTTTAGCTTTTTCCAACTCTGGATTTTCCTCCTTATTTCCTACTCTAACTCTTTAATATTAGCTGCTTCTGGGCCTTTCTTGGACTCCAGCCTCAAAGAATAGAGCAGAAACATTTCAGGTGGGATCTCCAACGAAGAGGGTGTGGAAGGGGGCACTGCCTGGGCTCCATCAGGAAGTTTGTGAGGCCTCTGGATTTTCCTTTCTGGGCCCTTGGTCTGCCTTAGAGTTATTTTACACCTTCGGATGGGTCCAGTGCTCTTCTATTCTACTCTCTTCTTCCTACATTCAGCCAATATTAGGGACAGCCTGATGGGACTCAGAAAATCTGTCTTGCCCTTGATATCCTGGAAGTACCTTCTCCAGAAAAGCAGCAGGCATGAATCCAGGCACCGAACTCTCACATACACGACCCCTAGGATCCTCACAGGACCCCTGATAGGCAGATGTGATTTGCTCAGTGTGGCACAATGCTTCGGAATGAGGCCTGGATTCTGATCTGGTGTTCCTGTCCTCAGAGCACGTTCTTTCTGTCACCCCAGGGGACTATGCCTGAGTAATGATGGAAAGGGAGGCCTGTTCAGCCTGAAAGGCAATAATGGGCTGTAGAGAGTTATAGTTGCTATCTTCCAAAAGGCATTTTCTGTGCAGGTCTAGAGGATAGAATTAAAAGTCTTAGGTGGAAATTGAGGGGCGGGGGACTGGGGGGGGTGGTATAAACTAATTGGAAAAACTCTGATGACTAGAACCATCTGGAAATGGTTGGACTGTCTGGGAGAAGTGGTGGCTCCCAGTGTCCAAATGCTACAAACTGTGCCTGCATGACCACTTCTCTTAGGCTCTTCAGGGAGGACAGCTGAATTGGCAGAATGTGGATCTATACACCAGGCACAGTTCTGGGCATAGGGTCTAAGAGGAGAAGCAAAGTCCTGCCATTCTGGTTAGGGAGGGAGACAATAAACATAGAATGCCAGGTGGTGAAAAGTGTCATAAAGAAAAATAAAAGCATGGTAAAGGATAGAGAATAGTGTGTGTGTGTGTGTGTGTGTGTCTATGTTGAACAGATTACTCACACACAAAAAGACTCTGAGGAAGTGACGTTGAGTAACAACCTAAATGTACTGAGGAAGTTAGCCACGTAGAGATCCAGAATCCTGCAGGCAGAGAGCAGCAAGGGCAAAGGCTCGGAGGGAGGAACAGTGCTGCACCATTTACATTCTCACCAGGAATGTATGGAAGATTCTCCCCATCAACATCTGCACTGTCATGGTTTTTAGTTCTAGCTGTTCCAATAGCTATGTAGTAGCCTCTCACCTGGTCTTCATGTGCATTTCCCCAATGGCTAGTGATGCTGAACATCCCTACATGTACGTATCTGCCATCCATGTGTCCTCTTTGGTGAAATGTCGTTCATCTGCCCACTTTCTGAGTGAACTGTGTTCAACTGCTGAATCCTGAGAGTTCTGCGTAGCCTACGCTTGAGCTCAGTACGGAGTTTGTAGTAACACGCCTCAGCCTGCGTTTGCTCCTTTAATCCTCCCTTTTTTACTCGGCATCTCTTTTTGGTTCTTTCTCTGTGGTGAAAGTACTTAAGGCCCATTCCTTTACCAAATTTGTAGCATACAATACAACATTGCTAACTATAGCCATGCCGTTGCACAGCAGATCCTCGGAGCTTTTTTCCTCTTGCAGCACTGAAGCTTTACACCCCTTGGCCAACCTCCCATCTCCTCCTCCACACAGCCCCTGGTAACCACTATGTACTTTCCACCTCTATGAGTTTGATTACTGAGATTTCACATATAAATGAAATCATGCAGTATTTTTCTGTCTTCATCTGGCTTACTTCCCTTAGCATAATGAATGTCCTACAGGTTCAGACATGCTGTCCTAAGGGGCAGGACTTGCTTTTTTAAAAATGCTGTAATATCCTCCTGCATATATATGCCACATATTCTTTGTTCATTCATCTGTCAACAGACACTTAGGTTGTTTCCGTACCTTGGCTATCGTGGTAAATGCTGCAATGAACATAGGAGCGCAAATGTCTCTTCAAGATAGTGATTTCATTTCATGCAGATACATGTCCAGAAGTGGGATTGCTGGATGGTACATAGTACTTCTCTTTTTAATTTATTGAGATGATTACGTGGACTGTCCTCAAATCTTTATCGAGCGTTTACCACGTACAAGGCACTGGTCTAGCAGCATGGGACATGGCCATGAGCAAGAGTAAGGTATCAGTACTATATGTAAATTATGGTGCTTATGCTTGGCCGTAAATAAATAAATTACTCAATAATTCAGAAGGAGAGCAAAAAACATGCAAGAGTTTAAGTGATAGGAAGAAAATAATACAAATTAGGGTAAGGAGTGGTCTCAGGGCCAAGGATTGTTTCTAAGGATATGACATTTGAGTCAAAGATAAAAGAGTACTCTAGGCTAAGGCAGACTGGTAGTCTGGGGAGATTTTGGGAGGAAAGAATGCCTCTGTGAAGAGTTGACCTGTGACCTGTGTGATGAGGTGTCAGCTACCCAAAGAAATGGAGAAGAGCAATTTAGGCTGAGGTACACTGGGAAGATAATTCATCTGTCCCAGTTTGCTAATGACTTTCTTAATTTTGGTACCCTAATTCCCATGATCTGGAAAGATCCTCAGTCCCAGGTACACTAGGATGGCTTGTCTACCTAACGGGAGGTCTGAGATCCATTGAAATATAAGGTCTACTGAAAGATTAGTCATCTGATGGCCAATATCCAAACTACAGCCATGGTTACTGGCAGTGACCTGGACAAAATAAAAATAATTTTGATTTTGAAACGCATCTGAGACTCTGGTTCTCGGTAGCACCCCAGCCTTAGCCCAACACAATAACTAATCAACCTTAAAGTTAGTATCGTCTCTGTGATATCAGAGAGCAAACTTGCTGACCCATCAGTTGCCATACAAAATAGCACTCACATGCATATAGGCACATGAAACATAGATAACCTACACACAACTAGCATTCATGGACAAAATGAAGATCTGCTATGATATCACCATAGTTGGAAGTTGGACTTTTGAATGGAAAGAACATTGGAAAGATAAGAACTTTGTGATGCAGCTTTTAATTTTATATGATATGCTCTCAAGGCAGGTCCCACTTTTGTCTCTATCTAGTTAAATCAGTGTCTGTGCTGAATGAGATTGTTTCTAACTTTAACTGGGTTAGTTCCTAGTTGAAGCCTTAAACAAAATTTGACCTCATGATTTAGACAGAGATTTAAGTCAGAGCTTATACCCAAAGGTAGAGGAATTGGGAAGGGAGGACTTGTCTGGAACTTTTTATGTGCCTTCATAGATTCTTCCATATATCACCGTGGTAGTTCAGGCATTATTAAAATCAAAATCTTCATCTCAACAAAAAAGGCAGCTCCACACTGTTGCCTTCATTTGGGGTGGAGGGACATGAGAAAATACAGACACAGCCCGGCCGGGCGTGGCTCAGCGGTTGAGCATCGACCTGGGATCCAGGCGATCGGGGTTCGATTCCCGGTCAGGGCACATGCCCGGGTTGCGGGCTCAATCAATGACTCTCTCATCATTGATGTTTCTATCTCTCTCTCCCTCTACTTTCCTCTCTCTGAAATCAATATAGATATATTTTTTTTAAGAAAAAAAGAAAATACAGACATATAAATGTTCACTTGAGACCAAATATTAGACCATATATTTTAATACATGTGAGAAAGACAGACAAAAAATTTAAGCCCAATAAAGAAAATCCCTGTATCTTCTATACACTTCTCTTTCCACATTTTTAATTATAAGGTAACTCTCTTGGTTCTTGTCTTGGCAGTAGCATTATGTCCGTCTTCATGTCATCTAGTCCCCGGTGAAACAACATCCGTAGACTTGGCTCCCTGGATAATATTCCCAGTCGTTATCTCTGATCCCTCATACCCTGAAGGAGATGTCCTGCTCTGAAGAAGATGTGTCATAGGCGGTGTAGAAACTTTCTTCTTGAAAGCTATGGTTTCAGTCATTAAGGTATCAACTGTGCTAATTGGCATCTCATCATTGGGCCCAGTTCCGGGAGTATTAGGAGAAGCACCCCAAGTAAAATAGTCGTTATCAGCTGTAGGGAGCAGGGGAGGTAGTGGCCTTTGAGTGTATTCTTCTAATTTTATGGGAGTGCAACAATTTAATTTGTTCATACAAAGAAGTTTGTATCTTTCAGTGTGAAAACATCGACTTCTGCAGTGACCTATGTCATTCTTCCAGCATCTTTGGTGCAACCAGCCAGCTGCAAGCGATAAATAAGTAGGGCAAGTTTTTAACT